AAAATTGCCCAACAATTCTGACTGGAAGTCGAATGCAAGGGCGCATTACTCAGACGTGGATTGATCAATGTCCTAAGACTATCTATTTATTATTTCAAAGGTCACCCATTTCGTGTGCCCTTTGATCCTTTCATACCCGACCCCTCGTGAATTTGTTACGTCCTCTGCTACCATTACGTTTCTCTTACGAGCACTTCTTACTCGATTTCTACCGAAAAGCCATAAAGTCAAGGGCACATTTCCAGAAAGTGCTCTTCCTAATAACCGACTTTTTTTTAATTAAGAAGGGGATTTTATGAGCTTAATGACTACAAGATGGTGTCAGAACGAACGGCATCAGTTTCCTTGGCGAGAGCGTTAGTGGGGGCTCATTTTCTTTATGTTCTGGACTGATCCGTGTTGTATTCTGATCTCTTGGATCTTAATCGGTTCTGATTGCTCTGAATCATTTTCTGTTTGTGCAGAGAATGATTGCGCTCTTCGACGCCGTCACCCTGAACAAGTTCAGTTTCTTCTCAGTTCTGTTTAGGTTTGTGCAAACCTAGCCACAAGTGTCGCCTCCTGTAACAAACACGACCAAACTGCTTCTTTATGATCCCAAGGGAATAAGTGACAAATCTTCTCAGACCAAACAACTTTCCAGTTCTAATGTTGGTATGCTCTGGGTGCTGCCTAGTAATGGGATGGAATGTGAATAAAGAACAACGTTCGCAATGGCACCAAATCCTTCATCTCAGTATTTTGCCGCCTTTTTCGACCGTATCCCTAAAAACCTTTTCGATCCCTAGTTCTGGCGTAGTTTCGATATCAGGCATGCCGCCGATGAAGGGATCGTTGGGGATGATGGGGCAGCTCGAATAGGTTGATTTCAGTCGAAACATTCATTTGTACTCCTAAAGCAAACTGTACCTTCCAAAGCCCTTAAATATGCTCTTCAGTTCGGAGAGCGTTGGACATCTCGGAGAGCAACATCTCGATGATTAATTGGGGCTGTATGCTTGAGTTCATTTCCTGAAACGATGCGAGTTCGATCTTTGCTGGTGCAAAGTCATGCCATGCGGAGTTGGCAAAAGTTTCTGAAGCCCTGTAAATTATGCAAATCGATCTATGGTCTACAATCANTGCCCTTCGGAGTTGGCAAAAGTTTCTGAAGGCCTGTAAATTATGCAAACCGATCTATGGTCTACAATCAGAGATCAGAGCTTTCAGGTATTCTTGCCATTCGCAACCTTTAGTTTATCCCTATAAGGAGGGCTCAATGTGACGCTTTTCCGCTCTCCTCTCCCTAAGCAGTACTTCAAGAGTTGTTCCTGATTTGTGCTGTGCAAACCCACCAAATAAAGTGGGTACGTAAAACTGACCGTTTCTATTGATACTATTAATGGGCGGATGTGACGTAGTGGCAAGTGGCGCATTATCCTGCACATATTGTCGTGAGATCGGACCTCGAATCGCTACTCGCCCAGGCAAACCAAACACTCCATCCTCCGGGGCCGGGTAAATGGTTCAGACTAGTCTGAGAGGATAGCAGTATTGACTTTTACACCGACTGGCCACCGCAAGTCATTGTGTAGGCCACATACGCATGCAATGTGCCACTACGATTCTGAACGGAAGTCGAATGCGGTGCGCATCCCAAAAATGAGATTGATTGACGATAAGGAAATGAGCTTTTCTTTATTACAATTATTCTTATCATTATGCTTGTGACAGTGGCGGCATCTGTGGGCTTAGGATAGGACGCTTCCCTTGGCATTGCTCCATAATCTTCTCTGTTATCAACGAATTTTACTACCCGTTATCAATATCGCTTACCTCTTTCCGCGTTGCCATAATTGCTCCAACCGTCGCTTTCCAGATCGCAAACTTTAGTGAAATTTCAGTTTTGGCCATCTTGCTATAGAAGGAAGACGTTTCTATAAAGTTCAACCGCCATCACCTAAGTGGTACTTCATAATGCTGTTTGCATCGGGGCTACGTAAAGCCGTCGATCAAGCGGATCCAAGCGCGGCAGCTATTCTAATAACGGCTGAAGAGACGAATCGTCTTCTACTTGAGAAGCGACGTCGTCAAATGATTCGTCGCCACACCTGTAGCTCACTGAAGCCCGAAGTGGATCGTACGGTCTCATTTCTTACACCCCAATTAGCTATTGCTGAGGACGACAGTGAAACAAGCCAGGTATGCACGGCAAATGTGAGCCGCTTGTTGAGGATCAATTGCCCATAGAACATGGTATCACAAATTATCACTGAGAGCCTGAGCCTATTGGTATTGAGTATAAATCAAGTGCTGGCAATCCACGTGCACAAGTTCAAGTCCCATCAGAAACCGAGCAACTCACTTGTTAACCGGTGCCATGATGATGATTTTGACATTGAAAAGCATCCACTCTTCAAGTATTTGCATTTTCCAATTTTATAGTAGTTTATTTCATTCCTCAATGTATTTCTATTCTTAAATTTATTTCTTTTCTAACAACTAGTGTTTTATTGTGATCTGGAGCGCGAGAGAGGGGGGTGGAGTACGACTCCCTTCCGAGGCGGAGAATTTCGAAGAGCATAATAGCAAAAAGGCAAAGAAAACGCGAAATCGGCGCATTTAGCGAAATATAAAGCTCTGAAAAGTAGTAAAACAAGGGGATGTACGAGAATGTGGCGACAAAGGTAGCATGGAAGTGGTATTTAGACGAGCTGTCCAAATGTACGTGCCATTGCCATTGGCTATAGTAAGCTAAAGGCAACATGCGCGCCCGGTGAACATGGTAACCTGGCTCTACATCCTTCCACCTGAGAACTCGTCCGCCTATGGGTGTGTACGTCGGCAAGACCGGGTTTAGAGCCGTCATTACACCCTATAGGGATCGTTTCTCGACACGACAGCATCCTTTGTGCTATCCTTGAGGGTCACAGATTCGTCCTAGAGAAGAATTTAAGAAACCATTTTTCCATTTTGAACTTTAATTGACACATTTGAAGGAATTCATTCTGAAAAATTGTTAGAAATTAGATTTTGGGCTTTTTTTTAATTTTGAATTTTGAGCATGAATTACCTTTGGTCGGTTGTAGGTGTTAGAGGGATTTAGGTTTCCTTCGAAAAATAAAGGCGAAAATCCTTCCTCTCTAATTACCTACAATAATTGGTACCCATTTCAAAAGTTCAAACTGGTTATGTGCATCTCCTGAAAAGAACATCAACAAAAATCTGCCATAAATCTTTTGCCTTAACGACGGGGCCGATTGCAGTTTTTGGTAATGGTCATGTGTAGGTGGACTAAGATTGACTGCAAATTTTGCTGTCGGCCATTTTAAGTCATGTATGTCATGGCGACTGAAAACAAGAAATGGACTGGGAGCTATGTACAGCTGTATTTACATCCCACTCGGACCCTTTTGGGGAAGGGATGCCTGCGAATGGATTCTTGGTCTCATACTGCTCTTACTGCTCACATAAACGAATGCGAGAATGCTATTCAGACCTACAATTGCAGAAAAAAAACCATAATAGCCAGAGCAGCCAGGAACCCGAAAATATGCTAATAAAAAGTAGATATAATGGAACAACTTGAACAGAATAGAACTGAGAATTGGTGGGCACGGTTGGGATTACCTTGGTAACCCATACGCATGAATTGGGGATTGAGTGCGGGTTGACATTCGCCCAGCTCAACTAAACCTTCCATCGATTTGGGATTAGTTAATTAGGATCTGACTCGTCTCGGATGACAGAAGACGTGACTTTTACATCGTCTACTCTCAAAAAGCTATGTATAGGCTACATACGCATTCAAACCACCACTATGATTCTGAATAGAAGCCGAGTGCAGGGCGCATCCCAGAGACGGGAGTGATTAACGTCGCGAACTTTATCCTTTCCGTCTTGACGGTTTGACGAGTTGGGATAGTGTGACATCCGCGATAAGTTAAAGGAAATCATTTTGCTAGTAGTTGATATCTACCCCTAACCCTTTCCATTTTACCCCATAAGTCCTCCTCGTTTTGGACGAGTTTGACAGAGCAAGGAGACTCGTCGTTATTGTTCACATGGCGTCACTAAATCGAAAAAAAAAACAATGAAAATGGCTACAGTCCTTGCCGTATTTCGACTAGCTACAAAGCAAGAGCGATTCCCCATTTTTCATGACCAGACTAACTCCATCCATCGGCGAGTGAAGACTAACAACTTCCCGGACTTGAAAAAAAATTTGCATATTTATCAGTTCATTTATTTACCTATTATGCATTCATAACTTTTAGCAATAATGTGTTGAATCTGATTAGTTTAAGTATAGAGTTATAGGATGTAAAAAAATAAATAAATTGGTAAATAAATAAATGAGCACGTTGTTCGTATGGACATTGACGTCAGCATTTTATACTTAATCACCTATAGGAATTGCCGAAAGATTCAGTAAGAGTATGCAGTCAGGTGAATTGTAAAGAAAGCTGATCCCCCGAAATTTTGAAAGCATGGAAACTTGGTAACAGTAAGGAAGCTTTTCGCTATGACAGCCTAATCATTTCGATTTCCAGCCACTTCCACCGTCTATCACAGCTCCTTCGATAACAACTCGACCTGCTGCCCTCGATGACTGGGGAACGTCAGCTTTTGCACTACCGGCCGCCACTGCAGGGAGCGCCGCAGTTCCTCCGTATACGCCAGGTTAATCTGCTTTTTTAATTGTTCACTATCAGAAGTCCAATGATATCGTTTCCGATTTCCTGGAAATCCTGTGACAGCTTCCTAGTAGTGAGAACTCTTCTAAAATATCCCTCGGTGAGTTGGGAAAATGCAGGGATTGAGGCATGTAGGGGATAGAGGGGCGGATGACAGTAAAGGCTTTTCAAATCCACATAATGTGTAATTTTTTCTATTATTTTCTGAGCGGAACTACTATGATCCGGGGTCAAGTTTCCAGGGGCTACATACCCATCCTGGTCAATTGAACCTTCCATTCTTTCGGGATTTCCCGGGTGTCATCAGTTTGGTCCTAAAGGATAATGTATCAAGCTGATCACCAGAAATCGCTATAAAGGTTGTGTTCGAGCTATTTGCAAAGATGATATCTTCCGATGCTATGCTTGGACCCCTTCCGAGTGTGGATTAATCAGCGTGAAAGAAAAAATTCTGATCTCTACCTTCCCTTTGTTATTCTTGCACTGTGAATTGGTCCCCAGGTCAGCTCCATTGCATGGACAAAGTGAAAGGAGAGTACCAACCGGTCCGGGTTTAGGAATTTATGCGTACAAAATAGTATAATACAAGGAAATCATTGCAAACGTTGTAATCAAACTCGCCCAGGTAAATCGAGGATGATTGAGGTCGCTCGGCTCTGTTAAGTCCCTTGAATAAATCATGTTTCCATTTGAAAGCTATTACCCATCAGGTCTTCCATTCGTTCAAAACGCGACCTTTCCGCCCGCGGCAGAGTGGTGTTCATAGTATTTGTCGCGTGGGCATGTCGCTCGTCTTTTGCGGGAAAATCGCGCGCTGACATACGCAGTCCCACCCGGATCCCAGTGAAATTTTAACGCTGGAAACTCTTGAAAAAGGGTCAGACGCGTTGCGATGATTTTTTCTGGAAGATGGATCAGAAAGAGAAAGCTTCAGCAATGGTTTTCAGCCAACAGCGCACCGGCAGCGGCGTCCAGTGTCGACGATTTCGATGACGAATGGACCGACGACGACGATGACATGGTGGTGAGTTCAGTCGACACTTCTCTTTCTGTCGTCTTTGTCCACTGTAGCTCTCCTTAGTCTTTCTGTCAGTGTTTTCACTTAGCACCACTTTTTCTTTTGTCCTTTTTCAACTTTTTTCACTTTTCCTTCTTATGCATGGTTATGAGGTAGTTTTCATTCACTTGCACCAAATTGCTGCACTATTAGAAGCACCAAATAGACGTTTGGTTGGTGCAATGGGCTCGTAGTGGTATTACTAGGCTACTATGTAATGTGATGGAATGATAGCTGTTTTCAAAAAACTCTGATGACATAATTGAACTCGTGGGTGATACGAGAACAAAGTCATTCTGTCAACATCCACTGGAACGTACTACTTAATTTTGCGGAGATCTGGTGCTGTTCAGGGATACAGTATGATACAGCTCTAAACCTTACATCCAATCGTTAAAAATGTCAAAAAACAAACAAAAATAGCATATATCCTTGTGATAATGATGTAATAACTACTGTATAAAGATGAGGGAACAAGTCGGTATTGGTTTAAACTTTTTTTTTNTTTTTTTTTCGAAAATCATTTTCTTCTCTATCTTCTCAATTAGATTGGTTGATTCGGTTAAGATGATTTTGTTGGCTGCTTCCATAGTCCACGATTTGGCCCGCGACCTGTCGCGCGGTCGATCGCCGCAAATCGTGGACTATGGAAGCAGCCAGTGAGTTTACAATTAATTTTTTCTCGAGTTTCCAAATAATTGAAAGCTGTAGAATGATATTTATATTTGTTGGATAGTATCTGTAAACGTTTTCGATGAGTGGTCACCCATTACGGGAAAATAAGAAAGTTGAGTAACATTTTGTGAAATTGGACTGTTTACAGCATAAAATTTGCCCCATTGCGAGCCTTTTGAGAGTGGAAGAATAGCGACAACAAGTAAAATCAACAATGTCTTTGAATCTCATATATAAGCTATTGCCACATTTATGAGACGACTTCTGTCTCTGTGGCAGTTCTTCACATTTCTCGCTTTCAGAAAGATTAGATTTTCGACTTTTTTCCAAAAATAGCCATATTCCCGTCTTTGATCCAAGCGATTTTTCTCCATCAGCCAGCGGTCATACTTCGCAGCCGTCATCAGCTGCCTTTTTCCGGGACTTTGTATAAACCCTACACGAGGGTGTGTATTACAATCGCGCTTTGTCGTCCGCCATCTCTTCTATGCGAGTGCTTCCTCGCTTCTACGCGCAGCCAACGTCGACCACTAGTAATCGAGTATGAACGTAGCTTTATTGAAGGTTCAGCATACACTCGCGTATCAAGAAGAATTGGGAGCAACGATGCTGAATTTGGCGTAACGGACATCTATGCTGAGTTTGTTTCCCAGATTATAAGAATTACCAACCGCCCCGGATCTTCAGAAATTGTCATTGGGAAGAGGGTTTCCTTCTATTTGATGTGCCACATTACCGCTCTATTTATAGGGGATAATAATGTTCAAAAGTGATATGCGCAGCGTGAGACCAGAGAAGAAGCTGTTGAGGCGGATCCTCTAGAGGCTGTTGTCGGAGGGTGGAGCAGGCCTAGAGGGAGTCGTTAGAGGCAAGCACGCTATACTGCTTTCGCACATCTTTTACATTTAACCATTTATCATTGAGGCTGAAATTTCTAGAGGGTTTTGGTGCTTCAAACAATAGACGACATGAAAAACAGATTTTAACAACAAAACAACAAAACGCTTTCTGAGCCGTTTTTGACTTGGAGTGGTGTGGTGTATGCCTACCTATAAAGCTATCTCACTTTACTTTATTCTTAAGCTGTAACAATTCGAGGAAATCTTGCTCGTTCGTTTCCAATCTGAATCCTAGATTTATGGTCCGGCACGAAAAATTTTGAATAAATGAAATGAGGTTTGACATCAATGGCTGTAGTTCCGGTTTTTCTAACTTTTTTTTGGGCTTCTTCACCAGTTTCATCAAAGCGACTGGTAAATGTTAATTATTTCTTTTATGTTTAACCCCATTTCTATAATCATTCATTAAAAAATTATTGAAGCATCGCTCATCACTGGGCAATGTTCTTAGGTTCCTCGACGTCGACACCATCACCCTGTCTCCAATTTGATTAATCATTGAGCCACTTTCACCCAAGACTTGTCAAATTGGAAGCAATTGCATAGAAGCCATTTCATTGGGGCAGATAGGATTTTTTCAGGGTAGGAAATTCGAGTTAACCGAGAGAATTTATTAATTGTAATTCACTGGCTCCATACTACGTCTACCATAGGTCCGTGAACTGGAAATGTATTGGTCTACGAAGATGTTCAGACGGATTTTCACTTTGGCAAGTCTTCCCCATTCGAAATGTATTGGCTGTGTAGATCTCGTGAGTAGTTCTTGGCATATCCCAACAAAGACGATCTTCCCTTGGAACGTTGCGGGTAACGGAACTTCTCCCCGATTGCGGCATTCTCCCGTGCGGCATGCGGCAAATGTCACTGCAACTACCGTACTCTCCCCGCCTCCCCGCCAATCGATAGGACGCGAAATTTTTCGTTAATTGCCCTTCTTTTTTATTAGATTTGATCGCTTTTTCTATTTCTTTTTCATTTTTATGTTTATTAGACTTAATTAATTAGAATGACTCGTCCTATGTAGGCGACGATCAAGACTGCAGTGAAATTGAAGAGAGCGGTAAGCCAATTCAAATAATTAAAGAACTCCCTACCTCACAAATTGCGCGCTCCAATCTGCCATCGCAATCCTGCGATACGCATCGGGCGCGGCGTGCGCGACGCCGTCTTCAGGGAGAAGCTCCCGGACCCGGAACGTTACGACATGTCAGTCGGAGTATTCCAACGAATATTTATCATATTGTAGAAGTGTTCAATTTTTCGGTAGATATTCTCTGGCAAGTAGGATATCAGCTTGCCGAATCAGTCAGCGTGAGGCCTTCAGAAGCTTCTACACTTCTGGTTACCCAGAAACTATGGCCCAGCCTTGTAGCCTCATCAATTTCTTACTGAAACTCGGTCTTGTACTCCGAAGGATTTGTCGCAGAAGAAGTCGACCGTTCTGCTCTGAAAATAGTTTTTCTTCAAAATCTCCGAAAAAGCGTCCGAGAAGACAAATCGTCTCGGCGAATATCTTCTCCACCCACACAACGGCAGCAATGACTGTGACAGCGAAGTCTTTCCAAAGTGCAGCGCAAAGGGTCCTTAGGGACGACTTGGTTAGTTTGTTGTCGCGATCCATGCTCCGCCTGAAAACACCAGTAGATAACATAACTGCTTTGACTCCTTCACTTTACTCACATTCCCAGATGACCCCCTATTGGTGACATTTTTTCTCTTACGATTGATGCTGTCGCATTTTTTGACGAGTTTACTCGACTACTTGCCTACTGCTCCAGCTTTTTGGCCAAAGTTACATCGCTTGGTACAGCCTTCCCTGAATAGCTCCCAGTAGCCAAATTAGGTTATTCCAAAGGCTTCATGAGCCAACATCTACCAATCATTTCTAAGGGCCAAGCCCAGCCATCATTCTTCTGACCACTCGAGGGCCATTTCACCATAACTCCTCCTTATCACTCACTTATTCTCATTCTTCAGGGGCTTTCTATTTTTTGAGGTGACACTGCGCGGTACAGGTTGAACCCTCCAGACAAGGCTATACCAATGTTGGCTCAAAAACCTTCTGGTTATTACTCTTTTGCCCACACGGGGGAAACCATTTATTTCTTTTTCAATTTCCTCCTTCAGAGGGCTCTAGTAGTTACAAGGCAGTCCATTCAAACGGGCTCTAGAACATTTCAAGTGGGTAGTCTTACCCAATCCAGTCTAGGTTTCTTTCCTTGACCTTTTTTTGACTTTTCTCAGTTCTCATCGAGAGTAAAGGGTCGAGATAAACTTGCTAGTAGGACAAGTTCATGATATACTGGTAGGCAAAAGGTTTCCAACTCTTCCATGTCCTCCTGCAACGTATGACATTACTATCGTTTTTGGAACTTCCTCTTCACGTATAGAAAGTGAATTTGAACACTAGTGATAGGCCCACAAGATGATATTCGTGATGGATAGTTACTTACAGTAGTACTGCTCCTTTCCAGAATTGTTTGGGCTATGAGCTTGCACGTCGTTTGATTTGTTCAGCTACTGAGTTTCAGACTCTGGTTTTCCGTAGATTCTTCATTTCCCTCTCCTTTTTAGAGCTCCCCACATGAACATTTGGTATGGAGGTACTTAGTGCTGTAGGTCGCGTTGTTTCCCCTTATTGAATGTTGGTCTGTTCATTAACTGGCGACTGACGTTTGGAGAACGAAAAGATCTGTTTTTTCAAAGGGGTCTCGGTTGTGGCCTGTCGGTTCAACTGTTCAATTTCAAATGAAGACGAGTACACGGCGCATACCTAATGATTGATCGAACCGAACCCGAGCAAGATTTTTTTGAAAGGACTTCAGTCGACCTGCAATTTTCATTCCATGATATTGGAATGAAAATTGCAGGTATTGGATAAACCGGCAAACCGGCAGCACCAGAACATTACATCCTTGTTTACTCGGAATTTAGGCTTCACTAGTTACCCGGCGATAATTTCTAGTCATAACTGCTAGTGGTGAGTGACAAAAGGTAGGAGCTGTCAATAACATCCCATCATCTTTCATTGTTTCTCCAAATATCTTCGATTCCCTCTTGTTTTCCTGGTTATGGCCGCCACATTAGTACCTCATCAATCAAAAATCGTCTCTATTACATATGTTTAGTGCTCAGAAGAGTTTATGGCTCTAGAGAGGCTCCGAGCTTTCATATCCTGTCTTTTAAATAAATTATAATACTTGGATAAGGCGATGGATTGTCCGAGGTCTTTGCTCTTTCATATGAACCTAAGATATATAGGGTCGCTAGAGGCAGAACTGATGGCTTTGATTACCCTTTATAAGCACATTTTTCAAAGTGTGTGCTCAATTTACCCTTAACCCAGCCCCGAGGATCAATTTTGTTGAACACTCGTTCCCGAGACGGGTGAAACGAACCTTCTACGATAGTCTTCCTTACTCAGTTTTTTTGAAGGCCTTGTCATCATCC